ATGCCCCACCCAACTCTCGGACACACCCAGCACATCCCATGGTTTTCGGCACGCAAAACGTGAAAGAACGAAAATGCCCTCGTAAAATAAATAAATAAATAAAAATTCAAAAATTCAAAAATGGTAAAAATTGGAAACATTACAGTCACCCAAAGGTAAAATGGTCAATTTATATTCATAACTCATTTTGCCATCTATTACCAAAATAACTCATTATATCATTGTCTAAAATATACATAATATAGTCCCAAAAAATAAGATTACAAATTTGAGACCCTTAAGGCACTCTTTAGAACATAATATCAAGTCGTCATCATTTATCAAGCAACAAGTCATAATCTTGTATTTAAAACATGAATTTCTCCATAAGACTGAGCAACATGCTCAATGAGAAGCAAAATATAAAGTATTAGGAAGACCCTTACCTCAAAATGCACCTAAAAGGCATCCCGGCCAAAAAGTCAACTCCGGTCAACACCGGTCAACTCCGGTCAACACCGGACAAATGAAAAACTGTTCGGTGGAGTTGTGGCTGATGTGATACCCCTTGGATCGGAGACACGGGTTGATCAAGCCCAGGCCCAAACCCAAGGGATATCAAATAATTAATATATAACCAAACACAGAATACAAGATAAAATAAGAAATAAAAATAATAAACTGCAAGAATGCTAATTGAAAATCCTTAAAATAATATAATTATTGAAAACTGTTAAATCCAAACTCCATAGGTTTACTACTTGGGAATCCATCCATTGGACCCCTTATTAAAGATTCTCAAACCGAAACTGAACCGAAACTGAAATAATGGAAATAAAATCTAAAGCTAGCATAAAGAAGACTCCTACATAGTCGGAGGAATGAATATCCGTATCTGCTCTACACGTCCAAGCTCTAACCCTGGAACTGATAAACACCTAAAAAATAAAGAAGTGGGTCAGGCCCACATGCAAGTCCTGATCTACTACAATCCATACAGTAATCCGATACGCAGATACATCCTAGGAAGACTCAACAATATCTAGAGTAGTCTATATAAGTATATGGTACACACTATAGGACGCTCCCTAGTCCAGTAGGTTTGTCTCAGCCTAAATAGAAGGCAACATGCAAATACGCACCCTAAGGTGAGCATGAGTACCTAGACTTACCAGGGAACAACACATATGTCCAATTATCCATCCTAGGCGATATACGCGCCCTAACCATGGTCATGAGACTCAAGCTCATACCATGGCACCATATAATATATATATAAAGTCCGTACTCCTCCTAGTACAAAATATCATCCAACCTTGTAGTGGTTTGATATAATGTATAACGCATCCATCCTGAAACCAAAAGTAGGTCACTCAATTCACAATTGATATGACATATGTAGGTGAAGGACTTAACCTTTACAATTAATCCATACCTTAATCCAAATTAGGTAGAACTTAGTGTTTTAACTAGTCCATACCTAGTATGTCACTGTCCCATATTGGTACATATAATCCAATCCATCCAAAATAATTATTAAGATAATTACTGTTATTTATCAACCATTATCCAGAATATGCATAACTACAATTTAATACATATCACATGATGTTAGGAAAATCATTACAGAACCTAAGCATCACATTCCATCCATTAAAGTTGCTAATATTAGTCATAGCATTCAAGTCCTCCATAAAATCCATAAATTGATAGAATTCACAAAGTATACTTATCAATTTATTCCATATCAAGACTAGATGAATTCAAGTATTTATTATTCTTATACTTCTGCTTAAATACAACCAAACAGTAATAAAATATATATGCCAGAAAAATTCCAAGTTCCAATATATGGTTTAAATGTTCAAAACAGTTAGCAACTCCCGATATTTCTTAAATTTAATTTGCTCCAATCCTTAACCCAATCATGGATTAATATTTCCCTTAGTATAACTGGTTTATTCCAGACCCAACAACAATTTAAAACATTTTAAACAAAGTTCCAAGAACCTATACAGACCAAACAGTGCACAGAAACCAAATTTAGTGCTTCAACTGAGAGTAGGCTCATTCAAAACAAAGAGCTTGCTCTTTTTTTCAAAAGAACCTGCTCAATTGATCTAGGAGCTGGCTCCTAGATGCTAGAGCCCGCTCCACCTTCCTTTGGAGCCGGCTCTAAGGTAGAAAGAGTCAGCTCCTCCTCTTCTTAGAGCCTGCTCTTCTTCCCTTAGTTGTCGTCGTCCGTTCTGCTGCATCTTTTTCAACTGCAGTGTTTTCCAGACCCCTGTAAGGTTCTTAATGGTTGTTCTAGGGTTCAATCTTAGTTCTAGGGTAATCTTAACCCATTGTTAACCAATCCTAACTTGTATAGAACACAATCCTTTTTGAAGCAAACAATTATAGAAATTTTAGTTCTAAACTAATTCAATTCAAAACAAATTTCTTCGGTGAAATTTGAATACTGTTTTTACTACTTGATTAAGAATTTAATCTCAGCCCCAAATTCATTACTAATCATCAGTACACAATCATGATCTCAACTTAATCAAAAATTAAACATAAACACCGAGAAGAACAAATAATAGAAAACCTCAAGGTTTATACAAATAACTTATTTCAATAAGATTAAAATAATTCATACATGCATACATGACTTGATATCATGTTGGTTTAATCCATTTTTAGCCTTTAATTAATCCCTGAAGTCTAACCAGGCATGCACAGAATACGAATTAAAGAAAAAGAGAAGAACAAGACTTGCCTTGAGTTTCAGACTTCGAAACTCTAATTCCACAGTTTCTGTATTCTCCCTTGAACTGCTCTGCCAATTCCCCAAGTTCACACTCTATTTCTTAGTAGCCCCTTGTGTTACAGACGTAACCTTATGTTTGTCTAAAATCCTAAACCCCAGTACGTGTATATATTTAAAGACTTAAACATTAATCCTAATCCATAGATAACTTGGCCCATTGAACAACCTAGGTTTAAAACAATGATGGCTATAAGAACTTACATAAGTTTATAAGTACCAGAAATATAATAACAACGAATTAAATAAATAAAAACAACCATTAACAAATAAGTAATAATTAACAATTAAGCAAACAACATGCCATTTAATCAACACAATAAACAAGTAAATAATTAATCAAATAAAAACAATTAAATCAAAAATTAAATACCAAAAATATCCTTTCAAAATTAGGGGTATTACAACTGACGTCGAGTACTGTTTAGTAGGGTTGTAGCTGACGCCGAAAAGATCATACTGTCCCAAGAAAGCGACTCAAAAATCCAATTCAAATATATCAAAACCTCCTTTAAAGTTTTAGATCTAAAACTTTCAAAAATTTCAAAAATATTCAATACTCAACTATAAATTGAACCCTTGGACTATGTGATAGATAGTGACGAAGCGAGCATTTTCCGTCAAGGTACTAAGCCCGAAAGTCAACCCGATCGGCCAAAAAATGGAAGAAAATTATAAAGCTTAAAAAAAATAAAAATATAAAGTTTTGGGAGAGGGAGAGAGAGATGCCATCTGGGAGAAAGAGATAGCAGAAGAATTATGAGAACTTACTAATTTTGGTTATATATATATTTCCCAACTTTTCAGTAATCGCGAACTTGGCCCACAGCTTTACAAAATTACAAAAAAGCCCCCGAACACCCCGAAACGAATTCCAAACCACAAAACAAAAATACGATTGTCTTCATGACACAAACCAAACAAACGGCATTGAAAAATAATTTTCGAGCAGAAAAATTCGTCACAGTACCCACCTAGGGCATCGGGCATGAAAACCGAAAACGACCGAAATGAACCCAAATGAGTTTTTAAGGATTCTAAGCCTAAAGATACTTCCCGAACAACTTCCTGGAACATCGTGGCATGCATTCCCATGCACCGAGAAAATAAAATAATAAATACTACGTAAAAGAAAATGCCTAAAAATACCGAAAAAATCTCGGACATCTAGGGGCGGAGTCAATTAAGGCCCAAGGGGGGCACGTGCACACCCCCCCCCCCCCACTTTGTTCCAACCTACTATACATAAGTACATATTTTTGGTATATACATATATTTTTATGGTAATTTTAAATAGTACCCCCGCCCTTCAAAATTTCAAATTCTTCTAATTTCCTTTTGAAAAAAAAAGAAGTTATATATATCCCTTCTTCAAGTATACAATATATTTTTCCTTTTCTAATTTTTGTTTCCTTTTTCAAAAAATTTCTTTTTTTACTTATGTATAATTATGTATTTTTCTATTTTTTTTAACTTATTTCTTTTTATCGATAACATTTGTGATTGTATTTAATTAAAATATTATTAATTAATATTTTGATTCTTATATTTGTAACTATATTTTTTTTTACAGTAGTTATTTAGCATATTATTTTACAACTATTTTTTTTCTTATTTGCCTTTTTGATTTAAAAAAATTATACTTCCTATTTGTCATATTTATTATTATTAATTTTTTTTTTCAACAAATGCATTGTGCCCCCTCTGAACTAAAATCCTAACTCTGCCCTTGCGGACGTCACACTCCTATTACAACATATTACAAATCTAATTTAAATTCAAAATATACAATGATAAGATAACAAGATAATTATCAAGAAAATTTTAACTAAACCACAATTTGTTGAAGTCTCAAATTGCTTTGTCTGATAGAATTCTCTTACACTAACTCATCCCTTAAATTTTTTGTATAAAGGCAATATTTAGTTTTTATGTTTGAGCAAATACAGAAAACAGTACTTAAGTTATGCTTGATGGATACATGGTCAAAATTGTGCTATTATGCTTTATTGTTTGTTTGTAGCACATAGTTTCTAAGTGAAAAATGTCTTTCATCAGAATATCTTTATCTTCTACGTACATCCTTTCCCCTCCAACTATGCTTCCTTATTTTTTTTGTCCTGCCTTCTCATCTGTGTGCGTGCTTTGTGTTATTTTTAGTGCCTTCTAATCCGTTTTATGCTTTGGCAGTATCTTCTTAGCAAGTGACGCTCTACAGCGGCTCAATTACGATTGGATACTTGTTTTTTGGCATCCGAACAAGAGTTGGCTGGACAGAGTCATCTTTCTCCAAAGTTTTCCACCTGCAATGAAGGTCACAGTGTCAAAATGGAATTGTAGCTTCCTAACAAACGAGGCCTTATGGCCTGTTTGGTTTAGTTTTAGGTGAACAGTTTTCTGTTTTCAAAGAACCGAATATCAAAAGATAGACTGAAAACACAAACTAGAAGGCGGTTTCTCTTGATTACCTGTATCTGCAAACCAGGTGATGAATGAAAACACAAATCTCCAGCTTGGCCAGGTTGATTCCTGGACACATTCGTGGTCCGCTGCCAAACCCAAGAAAACTGAAAGGCCTTAAGGGTTCCTGCACATGATCCAAGAATTTATTTCCCGAGAATGGAAGTAATCAAAGAGAATAGATTAACGAATTGGGAGGAGCTTACATCAAATCTGGAGGGATCAAACTTCTGGGGATCAGGAAAAACTTCTGGGTCATTGTGAATTGAAACTACATCCAAGTTAATTGACCAACCTTTCTTGATTTTGTAACCTGATGAAATTTTACGACACAGTTTAGTCTAGTACTGCAATTTTATGTTTTAGCATCTATATATATATGTTTACTTGGAAGATGTATACCATCAATTTCAAAGTCCTGGGCTGCTTTTCTGGAATTCCAAGGCAGAATTGTGGCTCTCCGAAGAGTTTCCATAATCACCTGAACAAAAAAGGACCAAATAATTGCACAAATATTCTTTGATTTTGCTTCTACTTTCAGGAAGAGAAAAAAAAAACAAAGTAAATAAAAGAGTTGATATGCTGCTAACTTTATTGGTATACGGCATGTTGTTGACTTCAGACCAGACTAGGCTTGATCCACCCTTTCTGTTAGCTTGAATTTCCTTATGTTCTTCCTGCAAATTCACCATGAGAAAAGAAAAAATAAAAATAAAAACAAAAAAATATCCTGCAAACTTCAACAAAAGAAATGGTTTTTTTTTTTTTTTTGGTTTGAATGTAAAGAAAGTATTACTCTGAGACGTTCCAATACAGCAGGATTTTCTTCGAGGAACTTGATGAGCCATGTGAGAGCTGCAGTTGTGGTATCATGACCTGCAACTAGCAAAGTTAATATGTTGTCCTTCAATTGTGTATCTGTGAGTTTATCATCGTCTACGTCTTCTTCTTCTTCCGAGGCACCTTTGCTGTGCTTCTTTATCAGGGATTCTAAGAAGTCTTGTTGAAAACTTTCTCCATTTCTTCGCTTGGAAATTATCGAGTCTAACATGGCATACATCCTATCACGAGCCTGATCACACCAAATATGATGTTAATTAGTACATTTTCTCATGATTTCCTTTAGATTTTGAGTTGTAGTGGCACTGCTTGTCTTGATGGATTCTAATTATAATTCGTGAGTTGATTTATTGTGACTTTGTGATTTTTCTTAGCAGTGTTACCTTAATACCGCGATGGAAAGCAGTTCCAGGGATTTTGAATGGCAAGGAGGCAAATGAGGAAGAAATGATCTTGAAATTGGCTCGAAATTTCTCTTGCTCCTCACCTGTGGGCTCTAAGCTCATGATCATGTTCCCGATCACCTTGAGTGTAAACTGCAAAATTTGAAAAGTTGGATTATATCTCTGGAAACAATTGAAGACACACCCAGTTGAAATAGTTATCATGAACTTCAAAGACAAACTAGCTCTCAGTGTACTACAGAAGTATTATTTGAAATTGAGTTTTTTTAATTAAATACTCCCTCCGTCCCAAATAAAGTGTCGTTAGGAGTTACAGTTCCGACACTTAATTTAGGACGAATGGAGTATTTATAATACAATCCACTTTTCTATAGGATAACTGAGAGAAGACCATAGCGTAATAGTAAGGTTGGCGATTCTGACATAGAGGTCACGGATTTAAAATGAAAAATAATTTCTTTGCATGTAGGGTAAGGCTACAACTACAGGAGTACCATCCTAGGGAAAATAAAAATAAAAATAAAAATAAAAAAAGAAAAGAAACTAAGCAGATTTTGAATATCATGATGTAAAACTCAAGCATCCAAACTTAACTGTAGATGCCTCTTCAAGAACGAAGACCGTTTGTCCAGGCCACTGATCTAAGGTTTCAATAGCCAAGTTGTTCATAAACTGGAAATATCTTTTGAGGCCATCAAGTGAGAGGGGCTCAGCAATGAGCCTTCGCAGCCGCTTGTGTGCTTCTCCGGTCTGTTGGAGCAAGCTGGTTGGACCAAGCACCTGCTTCCCAGTATAGAAGAGGTTCAAACTCACCACCCCATCTTTGCCTGTCAACAAAATCTTGCTTGCTTCTCTCCCAGTCATGAACACAGTAAATCTCCCCAATATATAGCTCTTGAACACCTTCCCATACCTAATACAAAAATATATATATGTATATACAGAAAAACATCAAGATCGAACCAAATTATGTTGATCTTATTATATATATCTATTTGATTGGTTACCTCTGCTGTCTCTTGTTCATGAAGCTGCAAATACCATAAGGACTCGAAAAGTCGGACAGGAACGAAAAGCTTTCACCTACTATAGGCCAACCAAGGGTACCAGGGATACCACCCATTGCTTTGGGAGAATTCCATGTATGCAGCAAGAAGAAGGCTGAAAGTAGAATTGCTGATATGAGCACCAACAACATTGACATGGCTATTAGCTCCATTTCCTTTCTCCTAATTAAACAAGTACACACTGTTAGACCGATATATATATATAGATATAAATACATTGTTTTTGTATATATATATAATAGGGATGAAGTAGCCCTTCATTGATTTCTCCAGTATATTATTCTCTGTCTTTCTTGTTAACATGCATATATCGGGCAGCTCACTATAAAAAATATGTAGTGACTATTGTTAGTGCCGGCTGGAGCAGTCGCCTAAGGCTCCAGCCAATTGGATTCATTTGCATTAGTATGCCAGTAGTGGGCTCATTATGTACAATTTAATTTACATATTCGTATTTAACAAATAATTAATTTGAGGATGAAAAAACTTTCATCTATTCTTTTATTTTCTCTGCTTATATATTTGTTTCTCCAGTTCTTTTCTTTTCATTGTTTGTTTTTCTTAGAAGCTCTCACTTTTTGTGTGACTACACGTAATACTCCAAAGGATTTAAAGGTAGCATTTTGTTTTCAAGCATAAAAAAACATAAAAATAAAAATTTAAATAATTAAAAATAATAATTTCCTATTTGGATGCCAGAACTTCACTGAAAACTATAAAATAAAATTAAAAGGATTGAAGAATTTGTTGGATCATTACGGAATATTTTTCTAACATCAATTTCTATTGTTCTTTTAACTTAATTTATTTTTGTAGTCTTATTATTTTTTTTATCATAAAAGCGTATATTTTGTGTGTGCATAATTTATTATTAAATATGTCTACTAAAAAACATGAATCAAAGTAGGAAAACTTAATAAAAAAATAAAAGAGTGAGAGAAACAAACGTGGATAAATTAATCCAATTCTAGATAAAAATTTGAAACATGTACGTTTTCAAAACTCGAATAAAAATGGTTATTTAATAAACTTAATTATCAAAAAGTAAAAAGGCCGATTTTTGAATAAAATTAAAATTAAAATTAAAATGCTACTTTTAAATATTTTGCCTTAGGCCCCTCAAATTATATTATAGGTTTGGTACCATCTGGCCTCCTCACTTAGTGATAAACGATTCTTGTCTTTTGTGCATGTTTGCTTGGGAGGTTATTTGTCATAGCTAGGTCCTTGGGTTGGTTTTATCTGTTTTTTTTATTTTAGCTCGGAGGCTTCATCTACTTGTTCTTCTTCAAAATTTGAGAAATGATTGAATATAATACTAATACTTATGGTTTCATTCTTCGTAGAAGATGAATTTTTCTGAAAATGAAAGCTGGGTGATATATGTAGTACCTTTCTTTGCCGACCAAGGAACCTTTTCCTGAATCAGAAATTGCATCATTTTATGTTGAAGAATATATCTGCCGTTTTTTCTCTTCTGTGGTGGGTTTGAAATACGTTTACCAATTATAATCAACTCTTGCAATAGCATAAATCATTGTAAAATAGGATTATCATAGGGGTAAGTCGAACCACAAGGACTATAAGTTTATAGCAATCAAGGTTTTAAAAATCACTTTGTTTGATGAAAGAGGTGTAAGGTTTGGTTTTGTTTGTCACTTAGAAATAAAAAATGAAAATTGCATAAAACAATAAATTGAAGGAATTTAAGAGGAGATGAACTTATGTGCTAGCGAGGTAAATCCACCACTAACCATATAAACATGCTAGCTTGTGATTAACTTGGGAAACAACTTATGTATATAACAATGATATGTAGTAATATAAGATTGCTACATTATCTTCAAGAAATTCAGGAAATCAAGAAGCAAGTATATTCCATCAAAGATTTACATACTTAACTACCTAAACTAGGGTGTAACCTTTGACATGCTCACTAAGCTAGAAACTATCAAACTCCTCAATAAAATGATAATAGCACATGAAGTCAAAAACTAAGAATAATCCATCAAAGGGGGCCCTAAGTTATGGACTATCAAACTTCTCAAACAACATGCCATTAAACACCATTTCATAGTCTCATCTCCATTCTCACTATGAAGATGCAAGCCATATAATCATGAGAAAATATAATCTAAGACAAGATAATAGATTCAACATCATCATTTATAGAAATTAAGATCCATTACAACATGTGTAGAGCTCTAGAATATGAAACTACCATATACATGATTCATTCCCCAAATTAAAAGCAAAACTAGAGCATGCTTATAAAGAAGGGCTTCATCACCTCCCTAGAAAGGGAGTTAGTTATCCATGAAAGTAAGGGAGGAAGAGGTTGAGGAGATCTTCCCCTCCATTTTCATACCTCCTAGCCAAAATACACACAAGCTCTCAAGAACACAATATTTTTCTCTCTAGAAATCCTTCCAATATTGGATCATCATAATACAATGCTTCAAGCCTTCTAATAAGCAAAAATATCGTCTCAACCACTTTTAATTTGTGGCCCAAAATCCCAAAGAGAGTGCAGACCTATCCCTTAAATCAAGGGGATAACATTGGGTGAAACAATGCAACCCACGACCTGTTGTCTATAACTTGGTAGGCGCCCGCGAAGTGTCAAGGCTGGCATCCACGCGCTGGTAATGGGGCATTTTGGGGCTGCTGATGGCAACTGGCAGGCGCCCGTAGTGCGGGGCCCCGCCATATTTGAAACCTACTGGAATGAATTGCTTTCATTCCTTGGAATTGAATGCCTCGATCATAAATTGGCGGGCGCCAGCAGGATTTGTGCATAAGGCTGGAGGGCGCCCGCAATGGTCCTGAGCTCAAAAACACTTTTCTTAATTTGAATTTGGCTTGGCTCGATGACACTATCCTTCTTCTTAGCACTTTGCAGAGAGTGCCATGAGTTCAATAGCACATATTAGCTTGGCAAAACTGTAGAGCACCAGCTCGGCATGCTTTGATCTTCAAGAACTCACCAAAACATCATTTTTATTCCTTTTTGGGAAACAAACCTAAAAATATATAAAAACATGCAAATGAAAATAACCTATACAATCGAACCAACTAATGGACTTAACTAATGCAAATAAGGGCGCTTGAATATGTAATATTCGGCGCTTATCACACCCCCAAACTTATATTTTGCTAGTCCCATAGCAAAACCAAAATGAAGTACTTAATGAAATGACAACAATTGGAATGCTAACCAAAAATATCAAACATAGTGCAAGAAGATGCACAAAGCTCAAATGCAATTTAGAACATAGAGAACACTAGAGATGGAACCATTATGAAGATTACCTTGTGTATATGAGGCCTTGATATAACAAAATGGCTAAACAACTTTCAATTCTCATGCATTAACATCATAGTCCATATAAATACTTCAATTGTCATATCTATAATAGAAATCAACTCTAACTTCATTAAAAGTGAACCAGATTCCCAATATGCAGCTTTTACCTTCTTTTTTCCATTTCAAGAACACAAGTCTTCAAATTATTGAATTTCCTTTTTAAATGAGGTCTCTAAGGTATGATTTTATTCAAAATACAACTTCTTTTTCTTTTTGTTTCTTTTTTTTTATATATAAAAATTATGGTCGTGCAATGTCGAAATCCCTTAAGCTTTCTAACTAACCCATGTAGCAAGTGTTAGGCCAGCAACTCCCAAACCGGATGGCTTTAGGGTGCTACCTATAAGGACACTCTAAAGGCTTAATAACTCGAATCAGCAAGGTTACAAACTCAAACTAACCTTATTTATCTATTTTTTATTTTTGTGAATGACCGTGCAATGTCTAAGTCCCTTAAGCTTTCTAACTAACCCATGTAGCAAGTCTTAGGCTAACAACTCCCAAACCGGATGGCTTTAGGGTGCTAAGTGTAAGGACACTCCAAGGGCTTAATAACTCGAGTTAGCAAGGCTATGAACTTAAACTAGTAATTTTCATTATTCAACCATTTTTTTTTTTTTTTTTTTTTTTTTTTTTTTTTTTTGAAGATTCAACATGCCAAAGATATCCATTCATTAGGGTCATCAATTCAAATCAATTGAGTCAAGGTCAAAGTAAATCGGGTTGCATGCCTCACAATTAAGTTTTCGGTGTTCATCTGTGAAGTGTGAAACATAAAAGAGAATGAAATCTGTTGAGAATCTAATTGAAGTATTTATACAAACCAATTGAATCCACATGATCATTTCATTTTTTTTTTTTTTTCAAAACTATCATTTGCCTCTATACACAAAGTATTAAATACATGCTTCAATCTCCAACAAGTTCCAAGATTACCCGATCATTGCTTTCCAAAAAATTGTTATCTTATCAATTTACATGAACAATTTCGCACATGTAAACAAAAATCCATACCAAAATATACCCCCAAACTTGAATGTAACATTGTCCTCAATGTGGGAAGACAAAGAATGAATAATGAAAAATAGAGAGGGTAACAAGAGCAATATTACCAAGTATAGGAGAAAAATCTGTGGCGTTGTGACAACATGCCACCATGCGAATTCCAAAAGCAACGCCCCCAAACTTGAATCTAAAAACCTGCCAAAAATACATATATATACACAAGCATCATATGGAACATAAAAATAAATAAAAATAAACAACTACAATTTTATTTAACAAAAATTGAGTATCCATGCAAAACAGCTAATAGGGACACAGTTATAAGTTCAAAATGGAAATTAAAAGGAATGCCAAACGCGGCCCAAAATAAATCCAAATAGTACTACTAGAAATCAAAATAGGAATTGAAAACAGAAAATCACTCTATCATCGGAGTAGAGGATGAGCCACCGGCTCCGCCTGGTGCTCGGTCAATCAAAGATTGCAGCATGGCCTGCAAGACCTGCTGCCCCTCCTGAGTCTCCTTAAAAAAATCCGTAAAGGTGCCTTCCATGGTCTCGACTCGTAGCTGCAGTGTGTCAAGACAAGTGCTGAAGGAGTCATAATCGGCACGGGACATGACAAGTAGTGGCGACGCAACAGGTGCAGGAGTAGCATATACAGGAGCAATAGGGACATCTGCACCCCCCCAATCCAGCACACCACCAATGCGTGCTTGCCGAGATGTCTTAAGTTGGACTGTGCTTGACTTCCATGTGCCGAGGTCATAAGATATACCTC